GCAACACTTGCCAAAAAATCATTTTTGTTCCGATTTTGAGAAGTTAGGGCTGAGAATTCAGTTGTTCTAGCAGATCGGGCTTCTCGCACTGGTCGGAAATACGTAACGGCTTTACTTATGAGGTAGACTATTTTTCTTGCCATTATACGTTTACCAGATTTACCGACATCAATAGATCTCACGCTACACCTCACCTTCTTTCGTTCTGCTATCTCTCTCCGCCGCTCACCCCTCTTTTTCTTTTCCATCTCTCCTACTGCCTTCCTTCCTTTCTTTCTTTTTATCTGTTTCATTATTTGTCTGTCGCCATTCGGCTCGCCGCTCTTTCTTCTTACTTCAACCCTTCCATCTTTTCTTTTTAACTGATTTCCTCAAACTCATCTGGGACGTTCAAATATGTATGATTCAAAGAATCTGTTTGGCTGAAATCTCTACTCCTCCCTTCTCCGCCACTGCCTTTTATCGCCAATCAAAAAAGCATCACGTCTAATCCAACCGATTTAGCCGGGCAACGACCCCGTCGTCACCAGTTTTTTTTCTCTCTCTCTTTTTTCTTTCTCTTCTTCCTCCACCTCCTACTCAGTCATCCCCTTCCTACAATTACTCACTCCTTCACACTCTTACAGGCACTCTTTCATTCATTCATTCATTCATTCATTCATTCACTTTCTATGCACAATCGTATGTAAATAGCAAACTACTCCGCCCTATTTACGCACAACAAATCGATCTCTTTCCAGCTACGAAGATTGAAAAGAAAAGGGGGGGGGGAAAAATCCCTTCAAAATCCGTTACCAACAACAACTGCCATTACAAAAGCTATAGGTACCGACAAACTAACACCCAAGTTCAAATCACTCTACAGGGACTGTCAACTTTTGGGGGGGGCAGTTCTTTCGATTTGCAGTCTCAACAGACGTGCTAACGGCTTAACAACATAACAGTTTCCCTGTCCAGTTCATCGTGGAGTAGCAGCTAGCAGGCCTGCGTCAGAGGCAGTTACCTACGCGTAACGTGTTCGATCATCGCTTGTTGACCTGTATCAGGATAAAGTATAAATACCTATGTGGTCTTTGCCCCCACCCAATTTCATTCATGAAACGAATTCATTGAACAAAGATAGATATGATTATATTGACGAGAAGATTTCTTTTTAAATTGATAATATAACAACTAAAGATTCTCAGAAATCTTCATATATCTAAAAGAAAGAAAAAAACTTGCAATCTATAACGTTCAGGGAAATCACGGATGTACCATGGTCTAAAAAGAAAATATATATTTTACTCACCATTTTTATTGGTTCAATCGGCGTAAATAAATACACACGCACATACATACAAACACATACACACACACACACATATATATATATATATATATGTATATATATATATATATATGTATATATACATTTATGTATATATATATGTATATAGTGAGAGAGAGAGCAAGCGAGAGAGAGTGAAAGACAAACACACACAACACAATATATAAAAAAGCGATACTTAAATTTCGCTGCTTTTTCGCGACTTAAAGTTTCATGTGCACGCGCTGATGCATGTGCACAATTATTAGTCGTTAGAAAAGAACACTCAGTTATATATATATATATATATATATATATATATAGAGAGAGAGAGAGAGAGAGAGAGAGAGATAGAGGCAAATGCCGACAGACAGTCAGACAGAAAAGGAAAAGCAATTCTTTAGATATAATATAAAATAAATAAATAGAGTAAATTTGATAAGTGCAGCTTATACGTGACCGAAAATAAATAATATATATATATATATATATATACATAAGTTTTTTGTAACTAAATGAATAAAAATGTCCCGTTACAACTTTATAATACAGACTCACTTTTACAATTTACATGGGACCTTACAAAAGGACGTTTTTTAAAATTATTCTTTATCAGACAAAACCCCAGAAAATAAAATAAATATATATATATATGTGTGTGTGTGTGTATGTGTGCGTGTCTGTGTAGATATGTAGATGTCACATAATGTAAGAAGTCTTTCAACAATTCGAACATGCTGCTTCGATCATCAGCAGTAATTGCTTGCTGAAAGATAAATGGCAGTACATTGCTATTGACGGGGAATTAACAAGCTTGCATCGACACATACATATATATTTATATATATATATATATGTTTGTGTGTGTATGCGTATAAATATATATATATACATTTATATATGTATATACATATACACGTACTTTGCATACGTTTCCCCACCTTGGATATTTCTGTTCCGGATCCACAAGTTAAAAAGGCGATCCTAACTTAAGATTACCTGTGGTTCTTTGCCGAGTGATTATTTTTTCTTTCTTTTTGCGGACATTAAAGAGAAGGAGAAAGAAAAAAAAAGAGGCCAGCTATCAGGATGCCGCGTTCTTTCATGGTGAAATGCGTAAACAAGCGACGCTGCATTGAAGTGAAAAGCGTCGCTAGTCTCGAAGAGGAGCATTGTTTGGATTACTGGCCG